GTTATTAACATTGTAATGGGACCTTTCAGTCTATAAGAAAACTTTTAGGACTAGTTATTTTTGGGAATTTATTGGTGCATCCCAAAAAAAAAAAACAAAACAAAAAATGCACTTCAGAAAATGCTTCGGAGCACTAATTAGTCGCTCCACTAATTAGGTGGCAGTGGGTCCCGCCATTAATGATGGTGATGTTTTAAGTCTTGGACGTTGTGTTGCCTAAGGCCACGTGTCCGTCATCACCAAAGTTGCCTCAGCTTGGGAACTTGGGTACGAAGGGGGAAGGTCATGAAATGAGCACCCCCCGCTCGCTCGATCAAAGTATCGGTTAGGTTTAAAAATCTTGACAACTCACCATAAACCAAGACAGAGGTTTATGGTCAAGGTTTTAAAAAGCGGCCGCAACCGTTACGTAACGCCGTTACGTAACGGTTTTGGCGGTTACCGCCACCCATTACGGCCGCTTTTGCAGTGTGATTGAGATTCACAAGTTTGTTGGCCGTAACGGCTGCTGTAGTGTTGTAACGGTGCGGTAAAGGCCTGTTACGCACCGTTACGTAACGGTTCTAAACTGCTTCTTTCGAAAAAAAATTAAAAAAAAAACTAAAAATGGGGGAAAACGGATAGAGAGAGAAGAGGGAAGATGAAAAAGGAAGATGGAGGAGTAAGAGATAGAGAGAGAAGAGAGAAGATGAAGAACATGTTATTGATTTGTTAAAACTGTAAGACCTATGCTATTCTATTCAGCTGCTATCATTTAACCATTTTTTTTGTGTCTGTCTATCTATATATTGTTTGAAAATAATAATAATAATAAGTGTGGTCATTATCTATTTGGCTTGGTTAAAATATGTATATATATATATATATTTAAGTTCTTATTTATTTTCTTACTTTTGTCATTATTTATCTTATATATAATAGTTAGTGATTAATTTTTTATAAAATATAAAGTCATTAATTATTAAAATAAAATGTAAAAAACTCAGTTTATAGTGATTTAAAAATATGAAATATATTGGATCATACCTAAAAATTTACAAAAATTGATCAATATTTATTTTTAACCCAATAAATGTGATCATGGAAAAAAAATATGCGCATCGGTAAGTTCTTTTCAAATTGTGCAAAAAATAAAAAAATTCATGGTTCCGGTTACCGCAACCGTTACACTACGGCCTTTACACCCCGTAACCGCAACTGCGTCACCGCCACCGTTACGGCGACCGCAACCGCTTTTCAGAACCTTGTCTAAAACACAAAATTATATTTGGGAACCCCTATTTTTAGCCCAAATTTGGAGGCTCAAGGCGCAGGCCTCTCTTGTCTACCCTCAGGGTCGGCCCTAACTAACAGAGGGAGGTTTTCCGGAGAGGAAAGATCGACCACAGTTATTGAACTTTAATAGATAAATAGTAGGAAGAGAGAGGTTTTTAACAGATAGATTTGTTGTTGTTAGATTTTTAACAAATAGATATTATTTTGTTGTTGTTGTTTGATTTTCAACAAATGGATTTGTTATTGTTGTTGAATAGATAATAAAATTGTGATAGATGGATTTAAATAGATAAATGAAATAAATTGAATAGATAACAAAATTTGGACATATATTTGAATAGATAAAGGGAAAAATTGAACATATAATAAAATTTGGATAGATATTTGAACAGATAATGGAAAAAAATTGAACAAATAATCAAAAATCTTTAATAGATAAATATAAATTTGAACAGATAGAGAAAACTTTTGAACAGATAGATATAAATTTGAATAGATAAAAAATTTCAATAGTTAAAAATAATTTCAACAGATAGAAAGTAATTTAAGTGGTTAGTCAACGAAAGTTAATAGATAAATTAAGGGTAAAATTGGAAACAACATATCCTTTAAATCTAACAGAAGAATTTTTCGCCAAATTATTTTACAAGGGTGGATTTCTCACTAATAAAAAATATCTACTGGACCTAATGCCTTAAATACCTCTAAGTTGGATTTATCACCAATTTTCTGTATTCAATATATTTAATCTTTTAAATAAATTTTGTGTAATTCTATTTCTACATATTTTTATTTTTTAAATAAATATAAAAATAAAATAGAATTAAATAATTAGAAGGAAAATTTATCTATAAATTCCATTTTAAGGAATAGCGATCGATTTAGTCACAATTTCTTATAGACCAATTAGTCTCATTGATTATTTGAAAATTAAATTTATGGTTATACTTTTATTTCGATTATGTTTCCTTGTTTTTCTTTTCTTGTTTCCTTTTTGTGCTAGATATGTAAGATACACAATTTATAATAATCAAATTTGGAATAAATTTTTATATGAGAATCTTTTTTATTTGGAAAACATTTCAAAAGGAATACAAAAACTCCTTAGTAAGTTTTGGATAAATGTATAATTTCAAACTGTAACACTCAAATGTAACAATCCAATGTAATACTTCAAAAAAAACTCCCTAGCGTATTTTTTTTTTTCAAACGTAACACTCCAATATAATATTTCAAAAAAACTCCTTAATATAACACTCCAATATAACACAAAAAAATTCTTAATGTATTTTTTCTAAACGTAATACTCTAAAAAAATGATATGGAATTCTTCAAACCATTCCAAAATGAGTGCAAAGAGTACTTAGTAAGCTTTAGACTAGTGTATAATTTGAAACTGTGAGTGTTACGTTTGAAAAAAATGCATTAAGAAATTTGTGTGTTTTTTTGTATTATATTGGAGTGTATTGCATTGAGGTGTTACGTTTAAGATTATATTGATTGGAGTGCTATGTTTTGGAAAAGCACACTAAGAAGTTTTTTTTGAGTGTTACGTTTGAAAAAAATACATTAAAGATTTTTTTTTTTTTTTTTGAGTATTACGTTGTTACGTTTGGGAAAAGTATACTAAGAAATTTTTTAGTGTGTCACATTAGAGTGTTACGTTATTGGAGTTTTACGTATTTGTTTATAATGTGAGATTTGTTCTAAAATGAGGGAAAATCCCAAACATCTACAGTGTGGATTGCGCAAATGTGTAATTTCATATTTGGAGAAATCAATTTTTATCCCTTAAAAATTAAACACAAACATGTAAGTTATTATCCTTTTGTGTAATTTCTACTTCAATAGGACGTTTGGGTTCATAACAAAAATTGATGACTAAATAACAATTCATAAGATCACATTTTTGGATTTATTGGTGGTTCACCCTATTTAGAATCACTTTTAGTTTTATATTAATAATTCTCTTTCTAATTTAACTATTATTTTTAATATCGTGTTTATGTTAATATCTTATAATTTAATATATATCATATAAAATTATTATATGATAATTACACTTCCCCGTTTGTTTGGGGTTATAAGAAGGGGATTGGGATTACTAATACATTGGTATTACTAATACCTTGTTTGTTTTGAGAGATGGCCTTGGGACTACTAATACTTTGGTATTACTAATACCCTTGGAAGGGGGATTCATAGTGAGGAGGTAGAGATGGTATTAGAAAAATAGTGAGAGGATTAGAAATTTTTTTTATTTTTTTTATTTTTTATATATTGGGATTTTTAAAAATATTAATGTTTAATTTTTATATTTTTTATTTGTTTTATTATTTTATATAAAAATAATTTAACAATTTCTCACTATTAATCCCCTCACTAACAATCCCCTCACTATCAATCCCCTCTATTCTGTCTCTGAAAACAAACGGGGCCTTATAGCACAATAGAACTAAAATATCAAAATGAACAAACAATTTAACTAAATTTGTTATATATAAGTGTTCAAGTAACACTTTTATAGAATAATAAGGTTTAGATTATTAAAATAAATATTTTAAATTTTATTTTAAATTTAAATTATTCTTTTGTAACACATATCATAATATAAAAATATCATTACATTAATTAAAGTTAACACCTTTGTGATTTTATATCAGACATCATATTTCTAAAAGTGATTTACATACACATGTAACGTCTAATTTGATATTGATTGATTAAAATAATAAAACTCAATACTTTTTTTATAAAAAAAAAAAAAAGTTTTTGAAAGATGACAAAGGTTGAATGATAAATAGTGTAGAGTATTATTTTAAAGAATAATGATTCATTGAAAATGATTGTGTATATTGAAGGCACCTATTGATGTTTCTTGAATAATTTTTAAATAAAATTTTTGAATTTGTAGTATTTTTGATAATGCACCTTCATGAGCTCTATCAGAAAAGATATGTAAAAATACTTTGGTTAGAATAAAAAATTTGCAGTTATTATGATGTGTCACATAATTAGTCAGAATCCATTTGAGAACTGAAATTATTATAGTTATAGAGATTTTGTGTCTAATTCCCTATGAGGACAGTGTTTATGATTTGACTTTGTAATTTTTTATGCATCAATGTGAATAACTCTTACGATCTTACTAATATGAATATATATCTTACTTTTGAGTTTACCCACCTTAAGCACTTTTTTGTATAATACAAAGTATTGTAATAGACCATAATCAAACACTACTTGAAGCATAAGTAAAAACTCAATGTACCAATTTAGACATAACAAAAATATAAGAAACTAATAAAAACCTTTTCGATTAATAATCAAAATAATACACCATGAGTTACAACCAAGTTATAATTAATATATTATAAAAAAATTTGTTATTTTTATTTTTATTTTTTAAGAAAAAAATATTTTGATACAAGTGAAATTCATAATTTTTGGTAAATTTTATTAACACAAATGAGGATTTGATTTCAAGTTGAGAATATACTATTTTTTTTTTTACTTTAAAAGAAATTGTTTTTATGAGCCTTTATAGGATCATACACACAGTGAGAAAAATTTTCATAAGCTATTAACAAATTTGTTTGTATTTGACCTTCACTTGTTAAAATTTTCTACAAAAAATAGTTAGACTCATAATCAATTTTTTATTTTAAAAATAAATTCACATGTATCACATAGGTCACATACTAGTTTATGTTATATAACTAGCTAAAAAATTTATCCATGCAAAAAATTGAATTGATCCAACATCAATTGTCATTATTAGATCATTTTTATCTATACCACCTACATGTTCTTAAAAATATATCACCTAGGTGCTATAATATATATGTGATTTGATCATGTAATTATTTGTTTGATCAACCTAATTTTTTGCATGCATGTTCTTCTCATCTTATCATATGAGATGAACAGTTCAGATCATTGACATGAGTACAAATTAGTCTCATAATACGCCAACTTTATTTGTGAAGTTAAGATATTCAACGTTAGCAAATCTGAATTATAAGAATCAACCTCTCCCCTTAAAACTTGTACACTCTGTTTGGCAATATTGCCACCGGGTAGTATGTAAATTAATTGGAAACATGCTCCTATGTTGTATTCATTTTTTGTATTCAGATAAAAAATGAACGACAAAATGTCATATCTTTAGATGTCCCTTTTTAAGTTAAAATAATCACAATTCCACACAGATGGTTGAACTTGTGTTCATTGACATTGAAATAAGTTCTTCCATCATCAGCAACAGTGGTGGTGGATGAGGATTCAAATCCTTTATATTTTATAGTGATGTAAAATGTTTCCCTTTTATTTTTGTGATGGGAAATGTCATACAAACTAACAAACATTTTGTCATGCAACAATCAAACTTTGGAAATGAAAACAAAACTTGCTTCAATGATATGATAGGTGTCACATTAGTAAGTAAAACAAGTCTGTAAGATTTATCAAATCATAAATGGCTAATACTATCATCCGATCTGGATCCATCAAGTCGATCAAGGTCTAAAGTTGTTCTGGTTCTTATGGTTGTAGCAAAAACTCAAATCCTACCTTTTTACCATGGAACAAGTTTGAAAACAGAGAGACAAGGGTATCAGTTTAGCAAAGGACAGAAAAAAAGAACTATTACTAAATATCCAACAACCATATAGAAGACAGAATGAAAAAATTTACTTCTGAAGGACCCTTAGCTTAACCCTAAAGCTTTAGAGGTAACCTTAGATGGATTTCGGCATCGTGTCTTTGTCAGTGCTGCCCTTTCCGGTTCCTATTCGAAGGGTAAAAAATTGTTGTAAGTCATAGAAATACACAAATGTATATTAAAAAGATAAAAGTAGGGTGACAAAAAGATATACACAGTTAATGATTTTTAGGTATTACATGTGCACTTACCACAGAAGATGTGGTAGGCCACCAGGGGAATGGTTATCCCATACATAGCAGCTCCAAATGCCATCATCCACAGCATGCTTTCATAATGTGTCAGAAAGTTTTGTGCCCCGGACAGTGAGTCTTCAACATCAATGAGACGACTACTGAATTGTGAATCCATGTGATGTTGTGGACTGCTGTCTGGATCTACAATTGTGACTGCAGCTTGAATCCTCACCAGTCTTAATGGTAGTTGTTGGTGGTGCTCTTAGTGGAGCGCTGTGATAGTGGTTGCTAGAGGTGTTCTCTGGTTGTAATGGTGGCAATTTTGATGGTAGTGTTTGTTTATGATGAGGAAGGTGGTGGCTTTGTGAGGAGGCGACAATCAATAGTGGGGGAAGGTGGTGGTTTATAGTGATGGTGGAGGTTATTAATGGTGGGTTGGTGGCTATGTTTTGTGGATGGTGGTTAGGTGGGGTAAATCTCACCTTAAATAATTTGTGGCAAGTTTTGATTGGTAGTTATACTAAAAAAATGTTTTTTTTTTTTTTAAATTTGGCTTGCACTTTTAATATTTTGCTGAGAATACCCTTGATTCATTCACTATTTTTCAACGGCATCAAGGTTGGGACCAAATAATTACACATTTTGTATTTTGGGTACTAAATTGACATAATTAAAAGATTTGGGACCAAAATAAACACATAACTCAAGCTTTGAGGACCTAAAATTGAATTAACTCTTGTTGTCATTAAGTGTATTGTTGGCCGTGGAGGGTGATTTTGTGTAATTAATAATGTAAATTTCCAATTTATTTATTCGAAATGGTTTGTTTGTTAAAAAAACTTATTTTATTAGAAAAGGTCTACCTTTCTTCTTAGTGTAAAAATGTAGTTGGAGAGTACTTGGAGCAACTCCAACAGAGCCATCATCCCTATTTTCTAGATATTTTGAGGAGTCCTAACCCAAGTAAACGACTTCAACAGCTTCCTTAAAGCGGTCCCTCAAAATAGGACTGGTAGAGTTGCTCCCCAATTGTGGCGAGTTACTGTAGAACCTCAAAAAATATAAAATTATTTTCTGGCCAATGGATCTATCGTCTAGGGTTCTCTCTTCATTAAACCATCTCTAACCGTGAATGCCTACGAACATAGAGAGAATCCTAGATGATAGATCCATTGGTCAAAAAATAATTATATATTTTTTGAGGTTCTACGGTCACTTGCCACAATTGGGGAGCAAGAGTCCTATTTTGAAGGACTGCTTTAAGGAAGCTGTTGGAATTGTTTACTTGGGTTAGGACTCCTCAAACTATTTAGAAAATAGGGATGATGGCTCTGCTGGAGTTGATCCAAGTACTCTCCAACTACATTTTTACACTAAGAAGAAAGGTAGACCTTTTCTAATAAAATAAAATTTTTTAACAAACAAACCATTTCAAATAAATAAATTGGAAATTTACATTATTAATTACACAAAATCACCCTCCACGGCCAACAATACACTTAATGACAACAAGAGTTAATTCAATTTTAGGTCCTCAAAGCTTGAGTTATGTGTTTATTTTGGTCCCAAATCTTTTAATTATGTCAATTTAGTACCCAAAATACAAAATGTGTAATTATTTGGTCCCAACCTTGATGCCATTGAAAAATAGTGAATGAATCAAGGGTATTCTCAGCAAAATATTAAAAGTGCAAGCCAAATTTAAAAAAAAAAACATTATTTTAGTATAACTACCAATCAAAACTTGCCACAAATTATTTAAGGTGAGATTTACCCCACCTAACCACCATCCACAAAACATAGCCACCAACCCACCATTAATAACCTCCACCATCACTATAAACCACCACCTTCCCCCACTATTGATTGTCGCCTCCTCACAAAGCCACCACCTTCCTCATCATTAACAAACACTACCATCAAAATTGCCACCATTACAACCAGAGAACACCTCTAGCAACCACTATCATAGCGCTCCACTAAGAGCACCACCAACAACTACCATTAAGACTGATAGAATGGTAAAGGAATATGAAGGTGAGAGGGAAGTTTAGTAGTGGTGGGTGGAGGTTTTGAAGATGGTGGACGGAAGAGACTGTAAACACAATGGTGAGATAGAGGGGACAAATGGCAAAGATTTCAAAAATCTATTTAGGTCTTGTAATGAAATGTAAAAAAAATACTCCTAATTGCATCACTATTTTTGGATTGTGTCAGGGTTAGGGATCAAATAATAAAATATTTTGTATTGAAGATTAAATTGACACGATTGAAATGTTCAAGATGAGAATGACATAGAATTCATCAGTGGGTAGGCTTCTGATATGGTTATAGTGGGGTATTGGAAAGAAATAGATTGTCCAACCAACGTTTGCCTTCCAAAGACCCTATAATTGGTACATTTTCCCAAATTTTACTCTTTGATTGTAAACAATTGTGGTCATCGAGAGATTAAAAAAAAGAAAAAAAGAGACTAAGAAAGAGCCCAATAGTTGGAGGCTTTCTTAAGGCACCTTCAGCCTTCTCAAAGTCATACACAACAACAAAAAAAAGAAATCTCTTTACACTGCTAATTTTGTTACTTTTTTATAATTCTATCATTATTTAAAATTACCAAAAAGTACCAAAACCCTAAAAACCAAAAAAGAAACCTTAATTTTCCTTACACCCACTCCTTACCAGCACCTCCATCTGCAAGCACCACCCCTAGCCCTTCCCTAGATCTCCTTCTCCGTCGCCATACTTCTCCTCTTCATCATCCTCTTCCCTTTTCTTCTTCTTCTTCTTCTTCTTCTTCTTCTTCAGAAAAACCTAGGTTTCTCACTCTCTCACTGTGGGAAGTTGCAACTCGGAGAAAAGTGAAGGGGCGTTGGGTCATGATGGAGAGGGCGAGAGGGGCTGGGTTATGGCAGAGAAGGTTAGTTGTTCTCAGTGATGGGAAAATTGGAGGGGGTTGGTTGTGATGGCAACAGTTGCCAATGAGGTGCAAGTGGGTGTTTACAGTTAGGGAAGGAGTCATTGGTGCGAAAAAGAGTCACCAGTGAAGGAGGAAATCGCCAGTAAGGGAGGAATGATGGGCATTGGTGGTTAGAAATAGGTTTGGAAAGAATAAGGGGTGTACTGAGAAGTAAAGTTAGGGATAAGGATATAGAAGGATTTATGAGGTGTGTAAGGAGATAAATAAAAAATTTGAATTTTAGAAGATAATAGAAAATGGGTGTATCGAGGGAATTTTTTGGTGTAACACAGAAGCTCACATACATTGGGGGACCAAAAGTGTAATTAACCCTAACAATAATTACAATAGGTTTTTTTAATTAATTGTAGGGTAAATTACACTTTCACAAAGTATTAATCTTCTCACTTTGGTTGTTAAAGAAAAGATTCTTTCACTTTGATCTCTCAATTATGTGACCACAAAGACCACATAGTACAAGGCAACCTAGAGTCAACCCAAAGTAGATCCATGCCTAGGGGTAATCTAGGGAACGTGAACAAAAATTCTAACATAAAAAAACAAAGAAAAAAAAAATTCATCCCAATAAATTATGTCATATACTTAGTAAACAAAATTTGCAAGCAACTGTATACTTTTCAAAAACCAAATATATGATCCATTAATCACCACCATTCTCTTTTCTTACCTCTACCACCTATCTCCCTTATACCACCCATCCTCTTCCACCTCTATTCCCTCCGCCAACCACCACCCATCTTACACCTACCACCAACCACCACCCCTTAAAACTCCCCTACACCGCCACCTCCCACCAACGTGAACTAACTTCTCACTCCTAACTTATACCATCATATCATCCCCAGCAACTCCCACCACTATGAACCTTACCTTCACTACCAACATTGGCCTTGCACCACCGCCACAGAACATAATCACCTGCAATGTCATCAACACCATACAGAATACCATCAACAACAATTGCCATGAGCACCAAACCCTAGATCGAAAACCACTGAACCCTAGATCAACAACATGTAGCCGTTGAAAAGAAGAGGCCTTTTAAAAAACAATAAAATTAAAAAAAACCCTGCAAAACCAACAATCGTTGTCCTTGATGAAGGTGCAGAGATTTGGAAGGGTGGTAGCAGGTGTAATAGGGAGAGTTGGTGGCAGGTATAGATAGTAATGGCTGAGCCGGGGAGTCACTAGAGATGATGAGAGGTAGTGGCTAGGTGTGGAAAAAGGTTGATGGAAGGGGTGAGGGTGAGGGTGAGGGTGAGGGTGAGGGTGAGGGTGAGGATGGTGGCGAGATGGGTAGAGGGATGGTCACAAGGGGCGATGGTGAGATAGAGGGTTGGGGAAAATGGGTGGAGAGAATACGACATGGGAGGGAGCAACATGTAGTACATGTGTTTGGGTTTAGATATGGGTCAAGGGTTTACCATGTGATGTTTAAGAAATTATCTATGATCTGATTCTTCTCAATAGTCAAATCTCTTTCTTCCCTTTGGTCTGAGGTTGTCAATGTCAACTAAGCTTGCCCAGGAATAAACAAAATTTTGAAATACCAAAGCCTTAGAGCTCAAGCTATGAGTACCACTCAAGGAAATTTTGCATCGGCAAGGGGCATTACTACTGTGAAGAATGAGCCCGATCATCTTCTTGTCCTTGTTCATGGCATCTTGGCAAGGTATGTACGGCTTGAAGAAATATATCAGAATTTTATTCATAACAAGGTGCTCCCAGAAGGGAAAGGGAAATGGAGGATTCCTGGTTCTCTATTGTATCCTTTGGATTTTTATTTTCTATAATAAATTTTCTCTCTCCATGGCTGGTAAGAAAAAAAAAAAGAAAAGAAACGAACACAAAAATATAAAGCAAAATTAATGATCATTACATGCATTACATTGTGTGCCCCTTTATGGATTATGTTCATTTTTGGTGACCGTATCTGCTTTACAATGCCTTCTAGTATATTTTTCTTCAAAAGTTTATTGTGTCTTGCAGTGTTAGGATTCTGTCTCTATTCAAGTTTTTGAAAGTCTTTGGCATCAATTAAGTGATTTGTGTTTGTATTGGATTTTTCAAAGTCTTCTGCATCGATTAAGTGATTTGTGTTTGTTTTGGATATTAAAAAACGAATTGAGTTGTGGTGGGTGTAGCATGCACTGTAGCAAGCATTTTTACATATGCTTACAGATATTGCAGAATAGGATGAGACATAAAATTGGACTGTTGATTGCCCTGGCTAATGATCCTAGGTTGTGTGTCAAGAACCAGGGATTAGAGGGTAGGCCCTCTGCTCTGGCATATCTAGTATTTTGTTGGATAATAGTAGCCTTGGAAGTATATGATTTGCTTTTAATAATAGCTCAGCAAAGGGGGGTAGAAAGAGGGGAAGATGAGATAATGATAGATATGCTGCCTCGAGGAGATTTTTCTTGGATATCTCAGCTATGCTTTCCTGAATATGGAAGTCTTGCTGCTTGAATTGCCAGTCTCCATTGTTTAATCATGGTTAGGCATACCTGACCTAAGGAAAATTCTGTGTCTGTCTGGAATCTGTGGCTAGTTAAAAGTCTTTGTTGGGTCTGTTAAATTACTGGTATGCGTGTATGTATAGGTGCTTGGTGTAAAGATGCACATGTCAAAAGGGGAAAAAAAAAAAACCCTTCTGCAACAACTAGCTCCCTCCCTTCTTTCAGTTACTGCACTACTTCAAATCCCATAAAAGTGACATGTTAAAATATAGGAAAATGCAATTTCAAATCAAATTTAATACTGTAATAGTATTTATGTTTGTGTTTAGTTCCATTCTTAAGGACTACTTAGTTCATTCTGTTTGGTGTTATTCTCTAGTTTGAATTTCGGTGAATTCCATTCTAATGTTTGATTCTTACCCAAGGCTAATGATATTGAATCAGAATCGGTATTTAAGTTTTTATGTTAATGCATTGTTTCAGCATATATATCCAAACTGATTTTGAGTTAACTTATCCTCTAAGTAATGCAGTCCAAGTGATTGGATATATGTAGAAGCAGAGTTGAAGAGGCGTCTTGGAAGAAACTTTTTAATTTACGGTATGATCATCTACACAGTGAGCCTTTTTTTTTTTTGGCCACTAATTAATATTCAATCTTATGATAAAGGGTTAGTTGATTTTGATAGTTTGTAATTACAAAGATGAGAACATATGGCATCAGTTGAGAGAATTACCCAGTATGTGTGAGGTTATATGGAATGGGAGGTGGGAAAGGAAGAAGTAAGGTGTTGGTGTGAAGGGAAAAAATTGTGTTTTCTTTCTTTAATGCAAGACTTAGTTTTTGGTGGGAAATGTATTATGATGGATGGAATGGTTGGGATGAAGAGTCTAGTAAAAAGAACTTGCAATCTTATTATTTATCAAGGACATGGTTTTTGATCACCTATGCAACAACGTAGTTTGTATTTGTGATAATAGAAAGTTCAATGTGGCACAGAAAAATGATGATGTCGAAGTTTCTAACTCTCATGAATGGCCTGTCAATTGTTGTAGAAATTTAATTTTGGAATCTACTATTTTTTGACATAAGGGGTGACCATTGGTTCAATGGTAAAACCTTGGCCTAATAACCTTAAGGTTATGGGTTCAAGTCACGAGGTAACCACTTTGTGTACTATGCCAAAAGTTAGGTGTATATGCAATATTTTCCCAACCAAACACACATTAATGTGTACTAATTGGACATTGTTTTTACTATTTTCTGACATAATTTCAAGATATGCTAATTGATTACTAGGTTAAAGTTTTAAGTGTTTCTATGCAGCAAGTTCATGCAACAGTTACACAAAAACCTTTGCTGGGATTGACGGAGCTGGAAAAAGATTAGCAGATGAAGTGAGTATAATATACTTAGAAAATATGAGGAAGAAGGAATAATTATTTCTGTTATATTCAAAACTTCTTATCTTACAAGACCAAATGACACTCCTTATATAGGAGATATTACAAACATCATATAACCCATTATATGCCACTTACATATTATATATTACCACTATCTACCACTATCATATTATATACATGCCACTATCTACCACCAACACCACTATCATATTCTATACATGCCACTATCTACCACCAACACCACTATCATATTCTATACATGCCACTATCTACCACCAACACCACTATCATATTAATACATTAACATAATTTCCAGCACTCCCCTCAAGCTGGTTTGAAGATATCTTCCATGCCAGCTTGCTAGTCAGCTTATTCAAAATTGCTTCTTGTGTAGTCCCTTCGTTAGCACATCAGCTAAATTGTTCACCTGTTGGAAGGTAGGTCATACAGATTATGCCAGCATTGATTTTCTCCTTGATGAAATGTTATCCACTTCTATATGTTTTTGTGCGATCATGTAGAACTGGATTATGAGCTAATAGATATAGCTGCTTTGTTGTCACAATAGACCTTCATAGGTGTCGGGTGAGAAAGCTTTAATTCTTCAAGAATTCTTTTAATCCACATTACTTCACAGATTCCATGGGCAACAGCTCTGAACTCTGCTTCTGCACTACTTCTAGCTACCACATTCTGTTTTTTACTCCGCCATGTAACTAGGTTCCCACCTACAAAGGAGCAGTATCCGGTGTTGATCTCCTGTCTGTAACACTTCCTGCCCAGTCTGCATCTGTGTATACTTCAACTTGAAGATGTCCATGTTTTCTTGAACAGTAAGCTCTCCCTGGAGTTTCCTTCAAATATCTTAAGATCTTATAAACGGCCTCAAAGTGCTCTGCCCTGGTGAGTGCATGAACTGACTTACCATGCTGACTGCAAAGGCAATATCAGGCCGCGTATGAGACAAGTAAATCAATTTCCCTACAAGTCGCTGATATTGTTCCCTCTCTTTGACTTCTCAGCCTTAGAGCTTGTAACTTCAAGTTAGGCTCGATGGAGTCTCCACCATCTTACAACCAAGCATACCTGTTTCTCCAAGGAGATCAAGAACATATTTTCTCTGATTAACGA